TAGCCAACTTCTCCATAGGCTTATTTGAGGCCTAAGACTTCTTTATCTTCCTAACCTGCTTGGTCAGGTCTGCAATAACCTTCCCATGTGTATCAAAAGTCTCCAAGATCTTCTTCTGGTTGTCTAGAATCTTCTTTAATGAGTCCTCCACTGATGAAGGTACCTGAAGCACTGCTAGGGCTGAAGACTAAGCTGTCACTGCACTGGATATGGAAGCCAACTTTGTGGTACTGCTTGCATCCAGTTCTTGAGACTGGATAGTGTCTGGGAAACCCTCAGTGCAGTCTGAGGGTAGGTATAAGATAAAGGCATTGATAGTGGCACTGAGATAGATGGGTCAGAAGACGGAGGAGGCAAGGCTGCTACTCCAGTAGAAGTACCGGTTGTTGTGGAGGGCTCGACAACTGATCAAATATCCACTACCCCTGGCTCTTCAGACTGGCTAGTGGAGGTAGTGGCTTTACCCTTGAATTTAGGGTTGTCTGCTCTATGGAGGTGATACCATGAGAAAGGCTTTTTAGCCTTCACCTCTACATCAAAATGTCTCGGCTCTACCCCTTGATCTTTGAAATACTCAGTGACAAAGTTGGGGTAGGGATAAGATCTTTCTTCTTTCTGGACTGCATTGGAGATGTTGTAGGACATCAAGTTCCCTACATTAATAGGATATCCTACCATAATGGAAGCTACCAATACTACTCGGGAAATTGGAAGGACATTTTCATGCTGGAAAGGGTCAAGACGGCTGCACACAAATGTTATCCACCCTTTTGCTTCAAAGTTAAGGGTGGCTCTGACAATTGGCACTCCTGCTGTAAGCCATACGGGTGTTGTCCCCGAAATAGCAAGTATCGCAGTTAGCCATGGGCGAACTTCCTGGCCCAAGGCTATCTTCTCCAGGTATTGCACAACTTTAACCTCCTCAAACCCTACGTATCTGTTCAGTGCTTGGCCATCAAACCGGATTTTCAAGTTTCGGACCTTCGTCACTTTTGTACCCTTTTTGATGTGGGAAACATTGGCATAAAATTCCTTGACGAGGTATTCATTGGCATCTAGTACAAGACTGGTGAACCATTTCCATCCTTTTCTCTCTATGAATTGCTTTAGAACATTTGGATTGTGCTGGCTCAGGTCTTTGGTGATGAATTGTCGCTCAAGAGTGACCGACCTTTATGGCCACCATTCCTGGAATTTGGAATATGCCTTCTCATTGACAAACCTGTCAGCCCACACCTCCGGCTTTCTTGATCTAGCCATGCCTCCTACCATTGTATCACCCCCTCTCCCCTCATCCGGGACTTCATCATCATCGTCATCTAAATTGATTGCAGTTGGGGATGCATGTGAGGGAGAGGGTTCAGAATCTCCACTACCCTCTTCCGAACCCTCAGAATAGGAGGACTCATCAACCAAATGCAATCTCCCCGGGAATTGTTTGGGGATTTATTGGGACTAGACTTCTGGCTATGCTTGCCCGGAGTTTCCTTTAGAAGCTTCCCCGGAGGGGACATACTCACTAGTCTAAAAAGTGTCTGGGGCTCTATTGGCAGTTGCTTTCTCGCCGATTATCTTTTGAACTGACAGAGGTATGTTGGGTTTGTCTTGACCCCGGCCTCAGGAGGGTTCTGCCCTCCCTTTGGAAGTATCACCTCGACCTCGGGAATGTACCATTGTCTGCAACACACAAGTAGTGAAAGTCAGTTAGAATTGGGGTTCAACATCTGTTAATGAATTACAATTGAAAAGAAAGGTATTGCCTCTCAGAAAAGGACAGCTCGGACCGCACAAAAGTGAGTGCGGCCACAGACTACCCCTCGCGGACCGTACAAAATTGAATGTGGATGCGGAGATACCAGGTTCAGACTACTGGTTCTTTGAAGTTATAAAATCGCAGACTGCATAAAACTGAGCGCGACCGTATAACACCCATCGCGGACCGCACAATTTTGAGTGTGGCCGCATAAACACTTTGTTGGGTCTCTGAAGTTCGAATGCGCATGTCACGACCCAAGCCGATGGGCTGCGACGGGCACCCAGTACCAACATAACATATTTTTTCGTATCATACTATCATAGATTAATGAACCATAGAGGTTGTCGTAAGATAAGTAGAAAAAAACATGGAGAAATACTCAACATTGGACGATCCAACATGTAATGCAAGCTTATACATATGACGTACGGGCCTATAAGGCCGGCATGATCCTTTATATACTCAAAACATAGGCCGACAAGGCCATACAAGAATCTACGTACATGACATCTGTCTACAAGCCTCTAAGAATACATAATATCGTAAAGGTCGGGACAGAGCCCCACCATACCAAACAATACACATCTAAATTATACTGACCAAACAAGCAACTCCGGAGCAAATAGAGTGTACCAACATCTCTCGCTGAGCTGATCGCCTACAGTGAGGACTCTCGATCTGTCTATCTGGACCTGCAGGCATGAAATGCAGCATCCCTAGGAAAAAGGGACGTCAGTACAAATAATGTACCGAGTATGTAAGGAATGAAAATCAATAGACAATAGACATGAGATAAACATGGAGTAAAAGAATCGACATGTAAATCTGAATAGCTCTATGAAATCCTTTAATATTTAAAATGACATGCATATATGTATAAATGTCATATCGTGCTTAGGTACATGTATTCGTAACATCATCACGCCTCTAAGGGCATTCCATCATATCATCTCGGCCACTGTGGGCAAAATCATTAATGTATCCCAGCTAATCAGGTGGTGGCACGTATGTAAAGCCAGAACCTTTCCCATATCCCATATATATATATATATAATTCCATCTAGTCATGGGTTAATGTGCATGTATAAATGCATGAAATGCATATGAAATACGTTAATAAAATCTCTTGGTACATGATAAGTCCATCATGCCTCTGTCTAATATCATGAAATAAATTTTACCAACTTACGTATTTTTGAAACCTATGAACAGATGATAGAATAATATGACACATAGGGAATCAAGAACATCGACATCTCTATTATTAACGTGCAATGCTCTCAGCTCACGTTAGCTAAACGTGCACCGAGTGTGGCTGCCATTTCTAGAGGGCGAGGTAGAGGAAGAGGAAGACTGAGAAAGGTTCCTAACACACCGATCTCTAACATTAGAAGCTCAATTAGCAACAAATCGAAGGCTGGACAGGACATGCATACACCAAAGCAACACGACGGAGTTGGAGAAGGAAAGGGTGAAATTGATCCATCAAATAGCTCAGAAATTAGTAGAAAACTGGCGCTGAGCACTTCAATTCAAGCTAAGCAAATCTCGATGAAGGAAACTGCTGGAATAGAAGGTAGCTCCAATGGAACAGTAACAGAAGTGGCGATGCAGGTCAAACCAAGCAAGGAAACTTCAATTGAACAAAGAGAGGAAGCTAATGGATGTAGAGATGAAGTGAATAGAGTGGTTAATGAGATTAACACTACAGATCGATGACTTGAGCGCAGAATGTGGTCAAATCTCTTTCAACAAAATCGAGTTGCTACTCATTGAATGGCACTGAAATATGTCTCTCCTCAGATTATAGATGGACAAACTGTGGTACAACTGGAGATGCAAGATGTGAAGGAAGTAGAAGAGAGGTGGAGTGCAGCAATGATTGCTTATATTATAGGTGAAAATCCAGGATATAATGCTATGGGAAGGTATATTGCTTAAGGCTGGCTTGATATTGTAGAACCAGATTTGTTTCTTCATGAAGATGGCTATTATGTTATAAAGTTCCAAAATATATCTGATATGCATAGAATTGTTTTTGCTGGTCCTCATACTATACGAAATAGGCCAATAATTCTCAAGCCTTGGTCCCCAAACTTTGACATTAGCAAGGAATTCTAACTGATATCCCCCTATGGGTGATGTTTCCAAAATTGCCAATGAGCTGTTGGGGAAATGAAACATTAAGTAAAATTTCTAGTGCTATTGGTAAGCCCTGTTTGCTGATGAGTGTACCACTAAGCAAACAAGAATCTTTTATGCAAGGATGCTTATTGAATTAAATGTGACTAAAACCTTGCCTACTGAGATAATGGTGATGGACTCTAGAGGAAGAATGTTTCAACAGGATATAATATATGCATGGAAACCAGTGTATTGTGACAAATGCCAAATTATAGAGCATATATGTCATACTCAGCAAGGACCTAAAGAACAAAAGGAGATACAACCAAAAAGAAGAAGAGAGCCAAAGAAAGTTACCTATGAGTGGAGAACCAAAGGGCCTGTTAAAAATGATGTGAATGTAGAACATGCACAACCAAGACCAGATGATATAGAGGTGCCTCAGACAAATGGAATGACAGAGAGATCAACAACAATTAACAAGGAAGGATCCCAACAATGTTTACTAGAGTAAATGCAACAAGCAAGACAATATCAGTCAATTGGAGATAAAGGGAGCACTAGCACAAAGATAGTGGACAATGGAAAGAACAAAGCCCTGAATTTTAGTCTTAAAAACTTTCCCAATTTAATTCCACAGCCTAGTAGAAGTAGTGCAAAAAGAGGAACAACAAGTACAAGTGAAAACTCTACCTTACCTCATGACAGAGGTGGAGGATTTAAAACTCAATAACTGAAGTGGATTATCTGGAATGTAAGGGGTATCAATAAATGGTATATGCGGAAGGAGCTAAAGAATTATCTGAAAACAAAAAATATTAAACTAGCAGGGATCATTGAAACAAGAATTAAGGAGAATAAGGCTAGAGAGGTTAGCCAGCACATAGCACCTGGATGGGAGATGATTAATAACTACAATGCTAAAGTAAATGGTAGAATATGGGTTATATGGGATTCTAACTACTATACAGTGAAGCTGATTAAAGCAGAAGCATAGGTTGTTCACTGTACTATCACAAATGCTATGAAAGATGAAGAATATGCAATCTCTATAGTCTATGGGTATAATACAGTTGAGCAAAGAAGGGAGTTATGGGATAATCTAAAAGTAATAGATTAAATGACAACCATTCCTTGGATAATTGTGGGAGACTTTAATGTTGTTCTGCAATTGCAATATAAGAAGCATGGGAATCTAGTTACAAGAGCTGAAACTCAAGACTTCAGCAATTGTATTCAAGAATTAAAGCTAAATGAACTGAATTGGGAAGGTGACTATTATGCTTGGTCCAACAAGCAAGATGATGGGGACAGAATATGGAGCAGAATAGATAGGGTCTTTGGGAACTATGAATGGATGATGCAATGGGGGCATATAGCAACTGTATATAATCTACTATTTATATCTAATCATGCTCCTATGTGTCTGACATTTAATGAGATACAGAGAAGCATGAAAATTCCTTTTAAATTCTTTAATGTTTGGGCTGACCATGAGAGATTTATGTCTGAAGCACAACAGATCTGGAACCAAAAGTTTCACAGGCAGAAAATGCAGAATGTGTGGATGAAACTCAAAGCTTTAAGGACAGTATTGAAGAAACTTAATGTAGAGGAAATTAAGTTTATCAAGAAGAAGATAGAGCTGGGTAGAATTGAGCTGGAACATGTGCAAAAAATCATAGATGTTAATAGCAATTATGACCTGCTAAGGAAAGAGAAGGAGTTGATGCAGAATTTGGAGAAATGGAGTATGATTGAAGAAGGGGCTTTGAAACAAAAAGCTAGGGCAAAATGGATTTATTGGGTGACTCTAATACTAGATGTTTCTCTGCTATAATGACAAAAAGGAACCAAAGAAAGCAAATTGTAGAGTTGCAAGCTATTAGAGGCACTAAGATAACTGATGCAGAAAGTATTCAAAGGGAGATAGTTGACTTCTATAAATCACTTATGGGAACTGCTGCCCAAACCCTCCCTGCTATAGATAAAATGGTTATGTGTAATGGAGCTAAACTCACTCAACAACAAAGAATTGAGTTATGCAAAGATGTGACTACAGAGGAAATCTATGAAGGATTGTGCTCAATTGGTGATGATAAAGCACCTGGTGTGGATGGCTACAATGCATTTTTCTTCAAAAGAGCTTGGACTATTGTAAAAGGTAAAGTTATGGAATCTGTTATGGGTTTCTTCAAGTCTGGAAAGCTATATAGAGCCATAAACTGTACAGCTATAACCTTGGTGCCCAAGGTGTCTAAGCCTAGAACTATTAAGGAATTCAAACCTATAGCCTATTGCACTGTCCTGTATAAACTGATATCCAAAGTTTTAGCAGCCAGATTACAAGGTGTTATGGGTACAGTGATCAATGAAGCTCAAGCAGGATTCATACCTGGGAGGAAGATAGCAAATAATATTATATTGGCACATGAACTGGTGAAGGCTTATACTAGGAAAAACTTATCTCCTAGATATATGATTAAGATAGATCTTCAAAAAGCATATGATTCTGTGGAGTGACATTACATGAAGCAAGTGATGGAGGAACTGGGATTTCCCCAGCTGTTCATATCCTGGGTTATGGAGTGTGTCCAGAAAGTCAACTACTCAATTGTAGTTAATGGTGAGCCAACAAAACCTTTCAATGCTGCAAAAGGACTAAGGCAGGGTGACCCTATGTCACCATACTTATTTGCCATTGCAATGGAGTACCTAAGCAGGAATCTGGCTAGTTTGAAGGAGGAGAAAGAGTTCAAATATCACCCTAGGTGTGCAAAGCTAGGGATCACTCACCTAAGCTTTGTAGATGACCTGTTTCTATTTGCTAGAGGTGATTTGAAGATAGTGAAAGCAATTTAACAAAAGTTCAATCAGTTCACTCAAGTTTCAGGTTTACAAGCAAATCTTAGTCAAAGTGAAGCTTATTTTGGAGGGGTCTTGTGACAGAAAGGCAGCAAATCATATAGATGTTGGGACTTGAATGTGGTGAACTTCCCTTCAAGTATCTAGGAGTTCCCTCATCCACAAAGAAACTGCGTTTAATGCAATGACAACCTCTTATTGATAAAATGAATATTGAGGATTACTTCTTGGACTACTAAGAATCTATCATATGCAGGGGAGGGTCCAGTTAGTCCAAAGTGTGTTGTTTATGATTCAGGCTTTTTGGGCACAACTGTTTATCCTGCCAACAAAGGTAATCAAATTGGTAGAGGGGATATGCAGGTCCTATGCCTGGTCTGGAGAAATGAGATCACAAAGAAGGCTCTGATAGCCTGGGATAGAGTTTGTTTACCTAAGGTAGGAGGTTGACTTAATATACCTGAAATTGTGGAACAAAGCAGCTATAGCCAAAACCTGCTGGGATTTAGCTCATAACCAAGACAAGTTGTGGATCCGCTGAATTCATACTTACTATATCAAAAATCAACAAATGAGTACAATGGAAATACCTCAACAAGCATGTTGGATGGTAAGAAAAGTAATTGAGGCTCATAGTGTATTGGAAGCTGGACAGGTTTTACGAAATCAGAGAAAAATCATGATCAGACAAATCTACCGCCATTTTCTATGAGACTATCGAAGGATGGAATGGAAGACATTGATGTTTCAAAATGCAGCAAGGCCAAAAGCAAAGTTCATAATATGGCTCATGGTACAGGGAAGATTGTTGACATGTGACAGTCTAGAAAACTGGAAAATATCTGTTGATACAGAATGTGCAATGTGCAAGAAAGAAGTGGAAATAAGAGATCATCTGTTTGGGCAATGTGAATATATTACTCAAGTATGGAGTAAAATGTGTAACTAGCTTGGTAGGCATTTTCTGGGAGTTAGTAATTGGCAGCAATTCCTAAAATGGTCAATTTCTGAAGCCAAAGGGAAAACTCAGCATGCGCAGGTGTTTAGAATGATATATGCAGAAGTAGCTTACCACATATGGATAGAGAGAAATAGACGTATCTTTGAGAAGAAAAGCAGAACATGGGAGCAAATTTCAAAGGAAATAACCTATATAATTAGTGTTAGAGTCACTCTTAAAAACAAATCCTTTGTGTATAGCCTATGTTTCTAGGTAGTATAGTAAGATGAGTATAGAGAAGAATAGCAAACTATGTTTAGCTATGCTATAGTTTTGTAATCGATACTTAGTGATTAATAAAATAATTTAGTTACAAAAAAAAAGACATCTCTAATATTTCTATGAATAGAGTCATTTATGGAATTTGTGCATTTTCTTGTTTCGTTCGTGTCGTATAGATCATGCCAAAAGAAATAAGGGATAGCCTTAACATACTTGGAGTAGGAAAAAATCTGTATAATATTCTTTGTAGGAGAATTTGGATGCAAGAAATCTCGTTGTTAATATCTTGTAGGAGCTTGAATTGTCAATATTTCTAACATTCTGATTGTAATTTGTTTCCAAGATATGAGAAAGAAAGCTTTGTAGAAAGCTTTGAAATATCTAACGTTCTTGGATTACCAACTTCTAATGTCTTTAAATTGTAAAGGGTTTCTAAGGTTTTGATGGTAAGAATTGTGTAATAATGATAAGAATGTGGTGTCCCTTTCTTGGCTAACTTAGTTGCCACCTATTTGTAATGACTTATGAGTCATTTTAAATTAAAAGGAGGGGATGCCATCTCATGATTTTTAATGCTTATCTAATATATCCTCAGTTAATTAGGTAATGTCCGGTTACCCGATAATTAATCAATTATCCGCATAATTAAGAATTATCTCAACTTACTTAAAATACTACTCTCTTTTAACATACCTTGTACACCTTACTATTATGGTCATGTAATACCTTATTTGGCACTAGTCCATAAATATCGGGTATTAATGCTTGGCTAGTATTTTACCTCAATATGCCAAACTTGGGCGAAAAATTCATTTTCTTTGACTTGCTTCCCTCTCACCTTCACCAATTTAATCATCATTTGTTTAAAATAGTATAATCCTTATAATCTCTAAATAATCTTTTTCCTTGGACTAATGCCAATTACCTTATGACAAATTCAACGTACAATACTACAGGGTGCAACATCGTCGTAATTTAATACTGTGAAGCATAATATCATCCTAATATAATATTGTGGGACGTAATATTGTGGGGTGTAACATTGTTCCCCCTTTGGAACATTCGTCCTCGAATATTGACTGATCCTCTTATCATTCTCATAACCCATAGGTATTGCAAATACTTTAGTACTAATCTTGCCATCTAGGCGACTGTTCTGTGAATGAGTCCCAAAGGCCAGGGCATTCCCTCCTTTATGCCTCTTTCTCACACCACGACTTGTAGTCGAAAGCCTTCTAATCTCTTAACTGTTACTACTTTCTATCATGCAGCCTTTACGACTCTAACTTTGTATATGCGCCTGACTCTTCTTTTCTTTTCCATCTTTTAGCCAATCTCTAGGCTTCACTTTTTGAACATATACAAAATTATGTCAAGTTGTCCCTTTTGGCATCATTATCTTTACTACATCTAAGTAGGCCATATTATACCAAAATTCTTATTTCGATTTCTCACTACCGAGGTCTGCTACCGAACTCCAGGTTACTCTCGCTGCTTATCCTATATGCATAAAGCTAAATCCTTTAATGATTCTTCATTACTATTCATCTTAAGACTGATGGCCCAATCTCATCTCGTACTTTGCAACTTTTACCCATCCATTGTTGATTCACCTCAATGTTGATCTACAATCATCCACTGATAACTTGAAATTTCTTACATAATATACTGCCACTAGGGCTTACGTTTCATCATAGAATATTTGAAGTGATTTTTCTAATCCACCTGGGTGATACGATATTATACTTTCCTAATCGTATTTCATAGTAGCCCAGTGTGACTCGCCATACGTGGCTATTTTAATCCTGTCCAATTCATGAAATCCCCTTTTTTTCTTTTTTCGTCAGACCATTACTCAATCGAAGACCCAAATGTCGTCCTTTATCTATCATAATCACACCCCCATTCTACAACATTCCATTTCTTCTAAATGCTATTAGTCAAAGACTTCTTTGAGTTCATTCAGGCTATATTGAGCTTTCTATAACTTAGAGGAATCATCAACTCCTTTGTTTTCACAGGCTTAATCCCGAGGACTTATCCATTTTCGTCACCTTCTCACTTGCCTTCTCCTTATCCTTAATCTTGTCTTTCTAAAACCTTGTCGTTCTATCATATTTTAGCTTGCGATCAATTCCCATGCATTTTCTGGAACATCAAGCGAGACATCGCATCGTCTCTAACTCTTCTTTTACTCTCTAATTAAACCTTTTGGTACTTAGAAACCATAGGTTGGGAAGTATTCCACTAACGATGTTGCTATCATTCCTGGATACTAAATCCCCGCGCTTCTAGCCTTTTATCCGCAGTATGGACTATTCACGACCTTCTGCATTTTGAGTATATTGTATATTGTTCTCCTTTTCCTTTCTTACCTTAAAATCTTGCATCGTATCATCTATCTCTTTCATGACCTCCCTTCCACATAGGTATAATTCACGTTCACAACTTGAAGATCTATTATAATACTTGCACCTCTGGGCATAAATAATTCGGTGGGAGATTCATACTAACTTCTTATGAGGCTAGTACTTCTTCTAACTGCCTTTATCGTAGAGCCATTATAGAATGTGGTTGTTGTAATACCTCCCTTGTACGTTTGATTGTAAGAGTACTTCTGCAATATTCTCAATCACTATTTCTATAATTTTTGGGTCCATTAACTGAATTCTATTTACTTCGTTGATGTAACTCTTTAGTTTCCTCCTTCTTTTGATCGGCCTTTATGTCATCTTAAATTATCTCCCACTCTG